ATGGGAAAAAAAAATCCAGACAATGACATTGGCTGATTTGGAAAGAATTTATTTGCAAATTATGGTGGAAAATAAGTATTTGGTCAATATGAAAAGTTCATCTCAATACTTTGTTATATATCCTTTGTTGGCAATGACAGAGGTCAAATGTTTCCTGTAAGTCTTCACAAGGTTGGCACACACTGTTGCTGGTATGTTGGCCCATTCCTCCTTGCAGATCTCCTCTAGAGCAGTGGTGTTTTGGGGCTGTCACTGGGCAACACGGACTTTCAACTCCCTCCAAAGGTTTTCTATGGGGTTGATATCTGGAGACTGGCTAGGCCACTCCAGGACCTTGAAATGCTTCTTACGAAGCCACTCCTTCATTGCCCGGGCGGTATGTTTGGGATCATTGTCATGTTGGAAGACCCAGCCACGTTTCATCTTCTATGCCCTTGCTGATGGAAGGAGGTTTGCACTCAAAATCTCACAATACATGGCCCGATTCATTCTGTCCTGTACATGGATCAGTCGTCCTGGTCCCTTTGTGGAGAAACAGCCACCCCCATGCTTCACAGTAGGTATGGTGTTCTTTGGATGCAACTCAGCATTCTCTCTCCTCCAAACACGACGAGTTGTGTTTCTACCAAACAGTTCTATTTTGGTTTTATCTGACCATATGACATTCTCCCAATCCTCTTCTGGATCATCCAAATGCTCTCTAGCAAACTTCAGACAGGCCTGGACATGTACTGGCTTAAGCAGGAGGACATGTCTGGCACTGCAGGATTTGAGTCCCTGGTGGCGTAGTGTGTTACTGATGGTAGCCTTTGTTACGTTGGTCCCAGCTCTCTGCAGGTCATTCACTAGGTCCCCCGTGTGGTCCTGGGATTTTTGCTCACCATTCTTGTGATCATTTTGACCCCACGGGTGAGATCTTGCGTGGAGCCCCAGATCGAGGGAGATTATCAGTGGTCTTGTATGTCTTCCATTTTCTAATTATTGCTCCCACAGTTGATTTGTTCACACCAAGCTGCTTGCCTATTGCAGATTCAGTCTTCCCAGCCTGGTGCAGGTCAACAATTTTGTTTCTGGTGGCCTTCGACAGCTCTTTGGTCTTCACCATAGTGGAGTTTGGAGTGTGACTGTTTGAGGTTGTGGACAGGTGTCTTTTATACTGATAACAAGTTCAAACAGGTGCCATTGATACAGATAATGAGTGCAGGACAGAGGAGCCTCCTAAAGAAGAAGGTACAGGTCTGTGAGAGCCAGAAATCTTGCTTGTTTGTAGGTGACCAAATACTTATTTTCCACCATAATTTGCAAATATATTCTTTCCAAATCAGCCAATGTGATTGTGTGGATTTTTTTTTCTCATTTTGTCTCTCATAGTTGAGGTCTACCTATGATGCCAATTACAGGCCTCTCTCATCTTTTTAAGTGGGAGAACTTGCACAATTGGTGGCTGACTAAATACTTTTTTGCCCCACTGTATATGGTACATATATTCTTTTATTATGCAAAGTCAATTTAAAATGAATTATATTGTATAGTAAAATATGCTGCAGATCTAAAATTTCAGAATTAGTATTTTTCTTGGGTCACCATTAGGTCCAATTATGTTCAGAAAATAACAGCTTTAAATGGCTTTTCTACAGAATGTTCTATATCCATTTTTATGCTTACCTGTTATGTCTAAAGATAAAAAGATTTACATTTTTAGTGTCCTTTTGCTTAGAAGAAAAAAAACAGATTTTAGGAGCTTTATAATTAATTGTTTTTTTCTGCAGTCTATCAGCAAGTGATACAGACTACCCTCATCTCTTCTAAGGAATGAACTTGTCAAGATCACAGAAAGCTAGTGGGCGACCATCTATCACACCGAAATATGACACTTAGATATATATCTATGGAGCATAAAGCAATTTGTACAGGTACATTCCTCCCCAAATAACATTCTGGTAGTACAGCATCGAGGCCACCGAAATGACAGCTCATTCTGATGAATCAGTCCACACACAGAAAGTGTACTAACACGACAGTGATTTAGATTTCCTTAAAATTATCTTTCATCAGGAACAGGCTTTAATAAGAGATCTTATTGCATAAAGTGGGTAAGTGACACTTAAAGACACCATACACACTTGTCTTGCCTCAGTACCATGGATGGAAGGGGGTTTTATAAAGAATGACTCAGTTCATAAGTGCTCAGTAAAATTCTAGGCCTGAAGCTGAAAGGAACTAACAGGAGGACCAACATGGCTGGGGCTAGCAGAAGAGGAGGAGATGCATGTGCTCATAGTGGTTTATTTATGAATATAGAAAAGCACGTACCTGACTAGAGGGATGGGGGCTCAGGAGGTGGTCCATGGTTTGAGGAGAGGAAGAAAGATCTTATCAATGGATCGAATGGAGCATTGCCAGCATCACACAGATTTCTCCCACCCTCCCTCCCCTAAACTCCTTCTTTTGGCTTTCTTATGACTTCTTAATTTTTGTAAATTTGTACAGGTACATTCCTCCCCAAATAACATTCTGGTAGTACAGCATCGAGGCCACCGGAATGACAGCTCTTTCTGATGAATCAGTCCACACACAGAAAGTATACTAACATGACAGTGATTTAGATTTCCTTAAAACTGTCTTTTTATCAGGAACAGGCTTGAATAAGAGATCTTATTGCATAAAGTGGGTAAGTGACACCTAAAGACATCATACACACTTGTTTTGCCCCAGTTCTGATACCATGGATGGAAGGAGTTTTTATAAAGAATGACTCAGTTCATAGGTGCTCAGTAAAATTCTAGGCTTGAAGCTGAATTCAGCTAACAGGAGGACCAACATGACTGGGGCTATCAGAAGAGGAGGAGATGCATGTGCTCATAGTGGTTTATTTATGAATATAGAAAAGCACGCACCTGACCAGAGGGATGGGGGCTCAGGAGGTGGTCCATGGTTTGAGGAGAGGATGAAAGATCTTATCAATGGATGACTGGAGCATTGCCAGCATCACACAGATTTCTCCCACCCTCCCTCTCCTAAACTCCTTCTTTTGGCTTTCTTATGACTTGTTAATTTTTGTAAATTTCCTCATTTCTGACTGTGGTGAGTGTTTTGCTTACTGGTGTGTTTTTATATCGTTTTGGTGCTTTGATCAATGAGTTAATTTGTCATAGCAGCAAGCAAGGTTCTCTGGGTCTTTTAAGGTAGATCAGGTTTCACTTTTTTGAGAATTATGGGTTGGGTACATTTCAGGTATGGGTTTCCATTCTCAACACTAGGTTACATTGGTAATTTTATGGGTGGTAATTAGGCTGTATATGGGGGTACATTGGTGAGTGTGATTGATTGTGATTGTATTTGTGCCTTCAAAGACCTGGTAAGGTCAATCATACAGATTATTTGTTGTTCTGTTATGTATTTAATGTGTCATTTTTTTAAGGGGGGTGGGGAGAAGTTTTAGTGTTCCAGAGATGCAGGCAATTGTTAGCCTTAGTGTTCTGCAGTCCCTCAGTCATTGGCATCCTTCTGGTTTTTTTTTTTTACCATACTAGAGTCATGGCTTTTCAAATGTTTAGTCATAATCATGTAACCTTTGAGGCTGTGTTATCTTTATTTCTCACTGACTTAAAAGGTTTAATACATGATTTTTGAACCCATGTGTGTGCTAATGTGCTTTGCTTTAGAGCTTTATCTGCATGAGCCTTGATGGATTTTACATTAAGATACCGTATATACATTTACCACATTGTTAGCTGCAAGATGTGGATGCCTCTAGCCTTGGGCTATCATATAACTGACAAGTCTACTTCATCCAGGTATGGCATGTCTGAATAGCACATGGGTACACAGATTGCAAATACAGAGTTCTCCCTGTTTGCTCCTCCTTACTCTTAGAATGCCAGCTCTATGACCTTTTATATTTTACCTTGTTTTCACAAACATTTAATTGATGGATTTGTCAATATGGCCCCTTTTTTCACTCACACCTACCCAAATCTGCTCAATAAACAAATAAACCTATTCCCGTAACATGGATTTGATTAGCCACAGGAACCATTTTATTAAATCCTTAACAAATATTTAATGTTTTGCCTCCAGCAGGGGAATATACTGTATTATACTTGTCCTGCCTGCAATATCAAATTTGACCACTCGTTTAACAGAAACTATGACTGTTTAGATAAGAGTTAATATAAAGGAAATAGATGCATCTTGGGAGCTCACACTCCATCTCAGAAACTGGGAGAGAAGAAGCCAGCTATCAGAGCACATGTTGGACTAAGACTTGCATCCTTTTGCATCCCCTAAAGGTAGCATCACTGGAGAGAATCACTTATCACCATCTATAGCCTAACTATTCATTGTGTTTTCTGTATGTTTTAACATTGATTGTATGTAGTTATCATCTGTTTTTCTCCTAATAGTTTCACCCAGCATGCTTTATTAATAAAGCTTCAAGATAAAAATTAGTCTGGCTAATTGCAGAGGGTTTAGCTGCATTTAGAGTTACACACAGAGAAATGTGTAGCAAGGACAGAACATTTAACAATGAAAATTTAAATAATAAAAAAAACACAGTTTATATTTGTAAAATACAAAAAGGGGATCTTTGGTCCCAATATGTTCAAAGTGAACCATATCCATGGTCTATCAGCTGCACCTTACTAACTTGAGAACCTCTTGTCTAAACATCACTAATCACCTAGGAATCAATCCCCAAGGAGACCACTACAGCAATTAAACATCAGAGAGCCTCATACAATCAGAGAGCCTCGTGCCATCAGATTAGTCCCTATACCAAAATATGAACCATTTTAATGTAGTAAAATAATAATAATGTTAAGTACCTGCAAAGTCTGACTTCTGTTTGTTGTATCAGCTAACAGAAACAATTGAGTACTGTCCGTGATACTTTTTTTATTTGCACTAACATACAATTTTGAGGACAAGCTTTCGGGTTATGTCCCCTTCTTCAAGGTCTAAGCAGTACTATTACAGATCACAAAGTTTAGGCAGAATGTTAGAAGCGATTCCACGGTCAACTGAGTCAGTAGTTAAAGACCTCCAAAGTTCTTGTGGCCTTCAGCCTAAACATTCTGCCTAAACTTTGTGATCTGTAATAGTACTGCTTAGACCTTGAAGAAGGGGACATACCCCGAAAGCTTGTCCTCAAAATTGTATGTTAGTGCAAATAAAAAAAGTATCACGGACAGTACTCAATTGTTTCTGTCGCAAATGCACTAATACGGCTACAATCACCTCAAGCAAATTGTATCAGCTAAGAAATCATCTCTACCCTTAGAAGCCAATCTACAAATATTTAACAACATGAAATGTAAACATTTACAATCTGACATAGATTCTTCAAAAATTTGTGCAAGTGTAGGTGGACAAGTAATAACAGACAAACAAAAGAATAAACCTTTATATAAAATAGTAGAACAGCAGCAAAAAATATGAATTTCTGGTTCCCAGGAATGGAGGAAGCCTTTTGGGGCTACCCAATACTTTGGACCATACAGTGGGGAGTTTTCTATAATTTTTAACCACTTTTAGTCACCTTTCAATCATGAAAACACTCAAGAAGATGATGGCAACCTACCACCAACAGTTCAAATATTTATATACTGTATATTCCTTGGCATCGGAGATACTGCTCTCTCTTGGTTCTCATCCTACCTATCCCGACGCTCCTTCAGTGTCACCTACAATGGTGCCACCCCCCCTCCCTCCCCCTCTCTGTTGGGGTCCCCCAAGGCTCTGTCCTTGGACCCCTTCTCTTCTCCATCTACACCTCCTCCCTGGGCAAACTCATACAATCTCACGGCTTCAACTATCACCTCTATGCTGACGACACCCAAATCTACCTCTCCACCCCTCACCTCACCCCCACTATCTCCGCCCGCATCACTCACCTCCTAAATGACATCTCAGACTGGATGTCGCTACACTTCCTCAAGCTCAACCTCTCCAAAACCGAGCTCCTCATCTTTCCCCCTGCCAACACCCCCCCCCCATCCTATCCATCATCACCAACAACTCCACTATCACTTGCGCCCCGCAAGCCAAAGTCCTTGGCGTCATTCTTGACGCGAACCTCTCCCTCCAACCGCATGTCAAATCACTCACAAACACATGCAGGCTCCATCTTCGCAACATTGCCAAGATACGCTCCTTCCCTCACCCCAGACACCACCAAACTTCTAGTACACTCCCTCATCATCTCACGCCTTGACTACTGCAACTCCCTCCTCACTGGCCTACCCAAGTGCAGGCTCTCCCCCCTCCAGACCATCCTGAACTCAGCTGCCAGACTCATCCACCTCACCACCCGCTCCACCTCTGCCACCCCCCTCTGCCTCTCCCTCCACTGGCTCCCGATTGCCCAACGCATCAAATTTAAACTCCTAACCCTGACCTACAAAGCCGTTCACAACACTGCCCCTGACTACCTCACCAACCTTATCACCAAGTACCACCCTACCCGTACCCTTCGCTCCTCACAGGACCTCCTTCTATCCTGCTCCCTGGTCTCCTCCTCCCATGCACGACTGCAGGACTTCTCCAGGTCCTCCCCCATCCTCTGGAACTCACTGCCACAATCCATCAGACTGTCGCCTTCCCTATTCACATTCAGGCGCTCCCTCAAAACCCATCTCTTCAGGGAAGCCTACCCCACCCTCACCTAACGGCCATCCTCCCTCATTCCTCCCACCACTTCATCCCCCTCAGCCACTTCCTACTGTACCTTTTACCCCCTCCCTCCTAGATTGTAAGCTCGTAAGAGTAGGGCCCTCTTACCCCTCGTACATTGTTTGTTGTTGTTGTACTGTGCCATGTATTGTCCCCCCTATTGTACAGCGCTGAGCAAACCCTTTGGCGCTATATAAACTCGTAGTAATAATAATAATAATATTCATATTAACACCTACACTATATTGCCAAAAGTATTGGCAACTATATATACACTCCTCCAAATCATTGGATTCAGGTGTTCCAATCACCTCCATGGCCATAGGTGTATAAAATCAAGCACCTAGGCAAGCAGACTGCTTCTACAAGCATTTGTGAAAGAATGGATTGCTCTCAGGAGCGATCCATTCAGTGAATTCAAGTGTGGTACCATGATAGGTTGCTACCTGTGCAATAAGTCCATCCATGAAATTTCCTTGCTACTAAATATTCCACGGTCAACTGAGTCAGTAGTTAAAGACCTCCAAAGTTCCTCTGGCCTTCAGATTAGCACAGCAACAATGCGTGGAGAGCTTCATGGAATGGGTTTCCATGGCCGAGCATCTGCATCCAAGCCTTACAGCACCAAGTGCAATGCACTGGGTCGGATGTAAAGCAAGCACCCAGTGGACTCTACAGCAGTGGAGACATGCTCTCTGGAGTAATGAATCACACTTCTCTGTCCGGAAATCCAATGAATGTGTCTGGGTTTGGCGGTTGCCAGGAGAATGGTACTTGCCTGACTGCATTGTGCCAAGTGTAAAGTTTGGTGGAGGGGTGATTATGGTGTGGGGCTGTTTTTCAAGGGTTGGGCTTGGCCTCTTAGTTCCAGTGAAGGGAACTCTTAAGGCGCCAGCATACCAAGACAATTTCATGCTCCCAACTTTGTGGGAACAGTTTGGGGATGGCCTCTTCCTGTTCCAACATGACTGTGCACCAGTGTACAAAGCAAGGTCCATAAAGACATGGGTGAGCGAGTTTGAGGTGGAGGAACTTGACTGGCCTGCACAGAGTCCTGATCTCAACCCGATAGAACGCCTTTGGGATGAATTAGAGTGGAGACTGCGAGCCAGGCCTTCTCATCCAACATCAGTGCCTGACCTCACAAATGCGCTTCTGGAAGAATGGTCAAACATCTCCATAGACACACTCCTAAATCTTATGGTTAGCCTTCCCTGAAGAGTTGAAGCTGTTATGGCTGCAAAGGGTGTGCCAACTCAACATAGAACCCTACAGACTAAGACTGTGTGCTATTGAGGTTCATGTGCGAGTAAAGGCAGGCGGCCCAATACTTTTGGCAATATAGTGTATATGCCTAGTATGGTAGTTGCTTTGTTTTGTTCAATTATTTTTGTATAACACCCTGACTGAAAGTGGTTGAAATAGCTAGAAAATAAGAATAAGTCAGTAAACTCCTAAATTTCAAGTCTAGTGACAATTCGCAAGCAATCAGAAATTATTTTGAGCTGACCTCAGTAAAGTGAAATTTGATTGGTTGGTATGGGTTGGAATAGTTTAAAAACAGGCATTGTTCCTTGCACTGTCCTATTCAGTAAGATTCTCTGTATTCCTTCAACTACAAAGCTTGTTTAATAATTAGGAGAATATTGATAAAAGAAAAACATGTTGCAAAGCATTACAGGAATTGATGTACACAGCGTATTAGTATGGTCTCTAGAATAATGAGTTTAGAACCACCTGCTCAGCAGCAAAGAGTCCCTGGAAACTAATTTTGAATCTTACTTACCGAACGTTCTCCATGTACCCACTGGTAATGCTAATATATTTTCCCTTCTTCCTATGCTATTACAGGATCTAGAAAAGAAGCAAGCATTTAAGCTGACAGGCACAATATCCAAGTTATTTATTTTAAACAACCCAGAGTGCTCTGCAGCTTCCCCACAAGTGTACTTAGTGGGAGCCGGGTGGGAATAAAACTGAACTATGGATGCAGTAGAAAGAAATTAAATGGAAGTCGGCACAGAATGTGCTCATACCGCATAGACCTTAGACTCTTTTCCGAGATCTCATGTAAAGTCATCAGAAAATGGAAACAACTGTGGTGCTGCATTCATAATCTGTGTCTTAATACATTCTATTAGTTTAACCTTCACTCATCAATTCGTATTCTAAAAAGTCTAAAGCTGAATCTGTAATCAGGCTCTGGACATTCAAGAGTTTAAAAATTCTTAACAGTGGATAAGCTTTATAGCAAGCCCCCTCTGTCCACTTTAACTGCAGGCATTGTGGAGTAAATCATCCTAAAAGCTGACAATAGAAGCACTGAAATAAGTCAGGTAGGGTCCCGGCACTCTGCTCTCCCCCCTTCCCTCATACCTGATCTACAGCATGTCTACTTTAGAGATTAGAAGGACGGAAGGCTGCCAACTCACTGCTGGGAAGAGGAGCAGGGTAAACAGCGCTTCTGAACGTGCTTATGTTATAACTTTTGAGGATGAATTACTCCACAATGTTTGCAGCTGTTTTAATGATCAATTGATCCCTCCTTATTTATTACTTCAATGCAGGTTTTTACTTTGATTGCACAAAGTGTTAAAATACCATGACTCTCTTTTGCAAAGCAGAAGCCCAACTGGCTAGCAATCAACATAGGTGTGTGTGTGGGGGGAGGGGAGCATGTGAGAACTATGGGGAGCTGGACCTACTCTTTTTTGCAGGTAACCATAATGGTTAAACTTTCTTATGTACTGGTAGTACTTTTCAGTGTGAAAAAGTAAAACAGACCCAGATTAATTAGTGTACATGCAGCCTTGCTACATTTCCATTATACATAGGAACCATTTAGTTGGGCTTTGAAGCTTATTAATCATTTGTTATGCATATGTATATATTTGAATACCCATAACCTGGCCATAATTCCACTTTAAGGGCCAATGCACACCACAGTATGTGTTGCAATGCAAATGGCAATGTAAAATATACTGTAAGTGTGAATAGGCTCTTCTAGCCATAGCAAGCAACTGTCCCTCTTCTGAAACTATAATCCTCTGTCCCTCTATCCTCCTCAGTAGTTTCTCTTTTTTAGCCTTAAGTATAGACCTTCTTTTAAAAAAAAATGTGCTAGTTAACTACCAAAAGTTATACTATATTAAACATTTCATACAACCCAAGAATTACTGCATTTTTTTTATTTTGAAAAAACAAACTGCAAAAGAAGGCTAATGTTAAAAAATCACTGATTAAATCTTTGTGGTCTGTGTAACTGGAAGGAGTGGCAGAGCCAGGGGCGGACTGACCATTTTGGAAACCATTCAAGCACTTGGGCACTGCCTGAGGGTCAGTAGAGGGCCCCATGAGATGCCCCTGGTACCTTTTTCATAGGCTTTTTTGAGTTTGGGCAAGGACACAGGGGCCCCATGATCCCCCTATAAGTTGTGTCAGTCTGCCCCTGGGCAGAGCTGTGCCCTTTGTCTACATACTAAGTGCTAAAAAGTGCCCATCTTTCTCCTCTAGGAGAAGGGGGGATGTGTACTTATAGTTTATCAATACTGCAGCCAGGCCTGGATCTTGGAGGGTGCTGGAGTGGGCTGTGTCCCCCAGATTTTAGTTTTGCCCTCAGGTGTCTGAGAGTGCATCCACTGATGATGAGCCAGTCTGATAGGGACAATTGTGTAAGGGGAGACTCTGATGGGAACAATTGATGTAAGGGGGGACTCTGATGGGGACATTTGTTGTAAGGGGAGACCCTGAAGGGGCAATTGATGTCAGGGGGAACTCTGACGAGGCCAGCTGATGTAAAGGGGGGCTCTGATAGGTACCTTGATGAAGACTCCTGATGTAAGGAGGGGCTCTTATGGAGACAGCTGGTATACGGGGGTCACAGGTCCTATTTAATTGTCCTAACCTAAAGGCACCCTAATCCATACAAGTGTCCCCTGTTCATCCTGCACTGCCTATGCACCACCTGTTACTTCTGAGCCATGACTAGTGGTACAGAAGCATGCCAAGTGAACAGTGAACACAATGTTGACATTATGCCCTTATGACTTTTTTACTGCACCTCTAGATCTGGCCCTGACTGCAGCACATAGATGTGGAACCAGCTACCTAGGAAATAATAACATTTCTACTGAAATCCAGCCAAACCATTTTATTTTGTTTTGCATGGAGTGAGAAAAGGAGGCAGCCTCTGTCATCCCTGTGTCCTCCTTGGGGAAGTTTCCCCTCAATTTCAGCCAAGAATTGTGCAACCAGCCTATGAGTGCTAGTATTTCCATTTCCTCTGCCATGTAGTGGATGGGAATATTAGAAAACCCGGGCTGGTGATAACAGTTGCTTGACTTTTAGGCCTTGATCACACAGATGACCGGGGGCAGTGCCAAGACAAGGTCGTTCAGTGACCACAGCCAAGGTTCAATCTTTGCCCCCCCCCCATTCATAATGCACAAGCTTAGGGGATCCTAGGCCCAGCAGTCACCCACTTTTCAAAATCACTGCCGCTATCACTACTAGTCAGCCTTATAACAGAAGGAAGGCTCCCCCATCCCTACAGTAAACCATTGCACTCAGGGTAGCCTTCCCTCCCATTCACCCCTTGTCCCAGCCCTGGTCGGGGGGAAGGGCCATGGCAAAATAAACCAGAAGGTTGCTGAGTCATGGTTATACAGGCTTGTACACATGCAAAAACTATACCCCCCTCATGTTTGGTACATTCAAGTGAATACATGTGGTTGTGGGGTGAAGGTGTGGGCTTTTCAGGATTAAAACAGGCAGTGATGGGGGGAATTATCACCTCTGAGCCGCCTGTCAACTGCCCTCTGAAAAGCATTCTGTGGCGGTGGCAATGGCTGCCACAAGTGAACAAGTCCACAGCCAATCTGTGAAGCCCTCTATGGCCATGTCAATGGTGAGGAAGATGTCCCTGTTCAGGTACTGAACATCGATGAAATCTCTGCAGAGCTGGAACCCAGAGCAAGAATATTATTTTGGTATGGGTTGTTCTTTAAACTACAGTTCTAAACAATGCTTTCTTTTTCTCTTTGGACAGAGTAGGGAAATGTAAGGACAACTCAAACTGAGGGTTTTCCTTCAACTTCTGTGATGTCACAGAATTTGGGTGCAGGTATAAACCTCTCAATGGATGAGGAAGAGATAAGTAAGGTTTTAGTTGGTATCTTTTTTTCAGTTGGATGAATTCCTGTCCCCCCTCACTTTCTATCCAGATAACAATCACCTTCAGGAAAGAAAGTAAGGTGAAATATCCCAGCATCCAAAATTGGAAAATATATTTTGGGTGGAGTAACCCTTCAAAAACAACATATTACCTTGACAACAGAAATGTCAGTGGGAGTTGCAGAATCTTCTCTCCTTCTGCACAGATACACTTTAATGACCACCTGTCATGAGCCACTGCTGCCATTCACAGATGCTAAACAAGCATGCACCAAGTGATCAGCATGCAAATTACAGGTCAGGGACTCAGAAAGCACTAAAGCCAGAGGTTTAGGATGATAACAAGGCAGCGAGAACTTTCAGAAGCGATCATGCTGGTAGTCCCCCGTATTTATTTCTCAACAGATTCCCTCTAAAGATGGTAAAGCGTGCTGCAACACAAGCTGTAGAAGAACATCTAAAGTAAACAAAATAAACACTGTTTATAGAATGCACTAATAAGACACCCGCTATTCCGAGTGAATATTCAGTGCCAGAGGCGCTTGGAAACACACGGCCTGACTGCTCCTGTGTTCTGGCACAGCATAAATTAAAGATTCAGACTAATTAAAGCAGAAATTGAGAGAGACAAAGAGTTTAAAAGATTAA